TCCTTCGAAAAATTAGTTTTTCAGTTCAATCTCTTTTACAATTGTTCTATGATAATCAAGCAGCTATTCATATTGCAGCTAACCTAGTATTTCATGAGGGTCAAAAATATCAAAGTTGATTGTCACTTTATTCGAGACAAGATAATAGTCGGAGACATTATAACTCCATTTGTGAAATCTGAGGATCAACTTACGGACATGTTTACCAAAGTATTGAGTCGTACTCCTCTTACAGCCATCTGTTCCAAACTTGGATTGTATGATATATATATATATAATCCAGCTTGAGGGAAAATATTAGGAGTATTATTATTATGTAATTACCTCTTAAAGGTATATCCGTCCTTTGTATGTTTACTAGATGACTATAAATACAAGTTATTAGTGAGAAGTATGTTAAGTTTTTTACCACTTTCCGTTTCTCTAATATTGTGTTAATTCTCTAAACTTAACACTTAAAAGTTTCAATGACAAACTATGATTTACTATCTGCTTCATAATAATACTTGATTTTATTTATAGACACGCCATTAATATAATCGCATATGCATTATTTCCTTTACCTAGGAAAGATTAACCAAAGACCATGCCAAACCTCACCCCAACCCAGCCCTTCACCACCTCCGAAGCAAATGCACCGAATATAAATAGGTAAGCAGGGAAATGTATGTAATCAATTCTTCATAAGCAAGATTTACCAACATAAATTTCACCTACTAGTACTTTACATTCAGCCAGTCCTGACATTGTATTGTCATGGTTGACAAAGGTAAAGTTACTACATCATCAAAGTCATATCATCCATCTAGCACCCCAAACCCAAAGTAGAGTCACATACATGGGTTAAGACATGGAAAGTATGTGCCATTATTCAAGCAAGGCTACACCTTCCATGTATGCTTCTAGAGATTTAAATTGTCACTAGATATAGAGTGGAAATTTGCATAAGTCATTAAATCAGCTTCTCAGCCATGATTTCAAGAAGTCAGCATTTGTAGTTGATTATTCTGTAAGCTCTTGGGGAAAACCTCCACCAATGTAATATTGGCCCCAATACTGCCATACCACATCAATAATTAAGCTTTTGAAACCAGTTGGATAATTTTACAACTAAAAATGGGACAAAATTTGTTTGTTTTGTTGTAAACTTACTTAACAATATACTTAACAGATTTTGATTTCATTTCGGCATACAACATTCTTAGATATTTGTTCATATTTCCACCAAAAATGGAAGAAGCTACTAAATTCTAAAAAGCCTTACAGCTAATAAACCGATTTCATAATTGATCAAACAATGAATCCTTATGGCTAATAAATTAGAATGAAAAGGAAAAATTAGTTTAACAAAACAAAGAGAGACCAACCAACCAAACCAAGCCTTCTGTCCCAATCATTTGGGATCGGTTATATGAGTCTATCTTCACCATTTATGTCGGTCATGTGTTATACGCTAATTTAAGTTAAATAATTTTATATTTTTTCTTATTATTTCATTCAATATTAATTTAGGTCTACCCCTACTCCTAATACCATTAAGAAAAATTCTATCACTTTTTTTAAACGGTGCCTCCGTTGAATATAACCAAACTATCTTAATCTATTTTCTCTCAACTTATCCTCAATTAGAGTTATTCCTACTATTTCTCTAATACAGTCATTTCGTATTCTATCCTTTTCTAGTTTTTTCACACATCTACCTTAGCATTCTCATTTCCGCTATAACTAATCCAGATGAAAACATATAACTCGGCATAACTAATCCACCAGGTCTTGACTATGATTCATAAGTACAACCACATGTGTTGGCCTGGTGAGTTTTGACACCAATGGTCGGGTCACATGTACAACAAAAACAAATTAGTAGAGAGAATGACAGTAAACAATTTAACTAAAAAAAAATTCATAAAAATGTGCAACTTCATGCTAGAACATAATAAACTAGACCCATCTTCTTGTGGAATTGATGAAGACAAACCAACATGAATTTAGTCACAAATAATTTGAAACATGGTTACCATAAAAGGGTAACATCATCTAAAAAGAAAAGAAGAAAAACCCAACAACAACTTGTGTACATAGGAAAACAACTCATAATGAGTGAAACATATTGCTTGATGGTGTGACATACCAATAGCTTGTTAAAAGATTTTGTTTCGGTAGCATATGGGATGCCACTATATCCATTTACAAAACCCCCCATATCCAGTTACTTTAGCAAGGATCGAAATATTGTGTCGAAACATCCGAAACATTTCGGATTTTCAACACACCGACAAGAAACGGGTGGAAAACAAAAATTCCCGAGTTTTGAGTCAAATGTCATTGTTTTAGACCGTTTTAGTCGAAACGTTAATGTTTCGATCGAAACAGTGGCATGATTCGACTGGTATCAGAAAATTGTAAGTCCACACCAAAAAAAGGAGAGATATGTCCCCAGTAAAGGGCTTAAAAAATTGTCGTTCCAAGCTTAAAAATTGTCCTTTGCAGTATAACAAATAGAGATAGAAAACACACCTAAAAATCGAAAGAAAAGAGTTCATAGCTTACCTCCCCCTAAGTCCAGATTTGAGGAGATCTAAGTCACCCGCCCACAGTCCAGATCTAGCATCCTCTCCAAGTATGAGCTTCTTTCTTTCTCTTCTTTTCATTCTCTTTTTCTTCCTTCTCTATTGGGTCTTCGTTGAGTCTGCTTCTCGGTCAGATCTGTAGATCTGGAATGGGTATTACACCCTCTTTCTCTCAGATTTGCAGGTCTAGGATGGGGATGGGGATGGGGATGCTTACGGTCTTCCGTGAGTCTCATATCTTTTCTTTCTCTTTCTCTCTCTCTCGCGTTCTTCTGAGATGTGAGAAATAAGCGTTAATGCTTTTTATCTTTTATGAAATTATTAATAACCCTTGTTATAATTTCCCCCTTTTCTAGTTGCCCAACATTCTGTCTTATACAACACGGTTGTCTTAATAGATGTTCGATAAAACTTACCTTTCAATTTTATTGATATCCTTCTATCACAAAATATGTCAGAGGATTTCCTCCACTTCAACCAACCGGCGTTGATTCTATTAGTTACATCATCTCCAATCTTTCCATCATTTTTAGTGATCGATCCTAGATATTTAAATTGTTTACTCGTTGGTATTTTTTGATTTTCAATATTAACTTTTTCACTGTCTACTTCTATTACTAAAACTGTATTGCATATATTCAATCTTACTCCTACTTATTTTAAACCCTTTTGATTCGAATGTCTCTTTCCAAATTTATAACTTATTGTTAATCCCCCTTCGAGTTTTATCCACTAATACAATATCATCTGCAAATAGCATACACCGTGAGACGTCATCTTGAATGTGCCTAGTGAGTTCATCCATAATTAGGGGGAACAAGTATGAACTTAGAGCCGATCCTTGGTATAGTCCCACCGTGATTGAAAAATTTTACTTTCTCCCACGAAAGACCTAATTATAGTCATGTCCCGTCATACATGTCCTTTATCACCCCAATATACCTATTCGTTACTCATTTTCTCTCAAGCACCCTCCATATTATGTTTTTAGATATTTTATCAGACGCCTTTTCTAGATCTATAAATACTATATAAAAATTTTTCTTCTTTTCTCTATACTTTTCTATGAGTGTCCTTAATAAATATACAGCCTCCATAATTGATCTACTCGACATAAACCCAAACTGATTTTTTGACACTATAGTCTCTAACTCTTAGACGTCGTTCAATGACCATGTCCCATAATTTCATTGTATGACTCATCAATTTTATCCCTCTATAATTATTATAATTTTGAATATCTCCTTTATTGAATAATTTCATTAGCCACGACACCCCCTCATTCCCTAAGCAATTCCAAACCTCAATTGAAATCTCATTCGGTTCTAAAGCATTGCCTAATTTCATTTTTTTCAATGCAAACTCTTACCTCCGAATTTTTTATTCTACAGAAGAACATTTCATGAATCCTATCATTTTCTATCTCTTCGAAGTTTTTTAAGTGATTTTCATTTAATTATTTCTGAAAATAGTCTTTCTACTAATCATTTATTTCCTCATCTTGAACTAAAACCTTTAAGTCTTCGCCCTTAATACACTTAACTTGATTAAAGTCTCTTATTTTTCTTTCTCTAATTTTAGCTAGTTTGTAAATATATTTTTCTCCCTCTTTACTATCTAGTTTTTTGTGCAACTCGTCGAAGGCTTTTAACTTAACATCTCTAACTATCTTTTTAACCTCCTTGTTAGCTAATTTATATCTTTGAAAATTCTCTCTATTTCTATCATTTTGCCATCTCTTAAAGGATTCTTTCTTTGCTTTAACTACATCTTATACGTCGTCATTCCACCACCAAGTTTTTTTTCCCACAAACCCTCTACCCTTTGACTTCCCAAAAACCTCTTTTGAAACTTTCCTAATGTCTTTCGTCATTCTACTCTACATAACGTTAGTCTCATCCTCTAGGTTCCATAAATTCTCCTTAAGCATTCTACTCCTAAATAGTACTAGTTTCTCTCGTTCTTGTTTTTTTAATGCTTCTCCTTACGCTATGTTGCCCTTTAATATATAAATTTAAGATTGTTAGCCTATGTTTAGATGTTAAGCTTTCTCCTGCGAGAACCTTACAATCTTTACATGCTAATCGGTCCATTCTTCTACTTAAGAAGTAGTCTACTTGACTTTTGTTTGGTCCATTCTTAAAGTTTATAAGATGTTCTTCTCGTTTTCTAAACAAAATGTTTGCTACTACAAGGTCATATGCTATTGCAAACTCTAAAATACTCTCTTCGACTTCATTTCGATCATCGTATCCATAACCACCATGAACCGTCTCACATTGTGTCCTATCTTTTCCTACAAGTCCATTGAAATCTCTACCTATGATTATTTTTTCCCCTCCAAGTATATATTGACCTAATTTATCCATTTGCTCCCAAAATTGTTTTTTAACATGTTCCTCTAACCCTACTTGGGGTGCATAAGCGCTAATCACATTAATTATATTCTCTCTAACTACAAGTTTGATAGATATAATCCTATATCATTTCCTTATAACTGCTACTACGCTATCTTTTAAGCCTTTATCTACAACTATTCATACTCCATTTCTTCATCTATCATTTCCAGTATAATAAATCTTACATCCTGTATTTTTTATCTCCCTTGCCTTCTCACTTACCCACTTAATTTCTTATAAGCATACTATACTAATTTTTCTCGTGCTCATAGTGTCTACAAATTCCATTGTTTTGCCTATGAGTGTACCTATGTTCTATGTTGTTAATCTAAGTCTATTATCGTGAACTAGTTTCCTTACCCCCCACGTCCGTCCATGGCATGAAGACCCTTACCTATTTATCACTGCACCCAGGAGCTGATGCGACGCCTTAACTTATTTGTCGAAACACCCCGAGGCAAGCACAACGCCCGTAATTGATTTTTCGAAACACCCAAAAGCAAGTGCAACGTGTCACTTATGGAGAACTTGCAAAACATTAATAAGAGCTAATATTGGATGTATTTCAATTGGATACGTTATCAGAATCCAAGTTAATGACACAAAGCTAAATGAGGATAATGCATGAATAAAGTCTATACCTAGGCATCGAACTTTGACAATGATTCCCTGACTCTCCAGTATAGAGTCAACATACAAGCCCGAACCAGAGCAAGTGGCACAAAGGACTGCACCTTTGGCTTGGCAACAGTCACAGTGAGGATTATCTCCAATATCTTTCTCCGCCAAGGATAAACCAATCGGTTTTTCAATCATCTCCTCTGGTATAGCCTTATCATAGCAAAAGAGAGATTCAAAACTGCTTCTTCGCTTGTGCACATCTCCTACTACATTAGACACAGCCTGCAATATAAAGATATTGACCATTAAATCAATTTGTTCCCACCATGATTCTATTTCAAATACAAACAGGAATTAATGGACATACATTTATTTTAAGTTCACAGGCACACAACCTCACACGTAAATGCACATACAGACACGCACACATGGTATCCATGGGCTTAAGACAAATGTCTTTGATATGACTTAGTATAAGTTACGATACTTTAGACAGCCTGCAAAAGAGAATTAATGGAGACAGGAATATAAAGATATTGACTATTAAATCAATCTGTTCCCACCATGATTCTATTTCAAATACAGACAGGAATTAATGGACATACATTTATTTTTAGTTCACGGGCACACAACCTCACACGTACATGCACATACAGACACGCACACATGGTATCCATGGGCTTAAGACAAATGTCTTTGATATGACTTAGTATAAGTTACGAAACTTTAGACACAGCCTGCAAAAGAGAATTAATGGAGACAGGAATATAAAGATATTGACTATTAAATCAATCTGTTCCCACCATGATTCTATTTCAAATACAGACAGGAATTAATGGACATACATTTATTTTTAGTTCACGGGCACACAACCTCACACGTACATGCACATACAGACACGCACACATGGTATCCATGGGCTTAAGACAAATGTCTTTGATATGACTTAGTATAAGTTACGATACATGAATCTTCTATAGTCATGATGAAAATATCAGAATAACCTTTTAGAAAAATTATAGGAGATTCTATAATATATTCAACAGTAAATGAGATCAAGTACATTAAGACTAAGGAAAATAGAAAAGTACCGTATTGTGCTTATGAGCTTGCTATTATGTTGGATAGACAGGCTATTATCATGCCACTTTACCCAGAGATTATACATACTTGTATTTAAAACTCTGCATATCTGGAATTGAGAATCAGCTAGCTGAAAATATTTTTCAATATACCATACCTGTCTCCAGTAAGTTGCTGTCACAAACATACAAAAAACTCACAGGCAGGTTTTTTTTTTTTTTTTGATAGGATTACATATATAGTATTAAAATAAAAATGAGAATATATGAAGAGAGATTGGATAAGAAATTCAATCAAAAACAAAGAAATTACAGTAACAATTCGAAAGCAAAAATACTAGGAAAGGCCTATAAATCACATAAGCTCTCCATCCCGCTTTTATAGCAAAAAACGGAATTCCTTTGAAGGCCTTTGTAACCAAAGCCCAAAACGATGCTAGTAAATGTGCTCCCACAATCCTTCCACACACTCATTCCAGTCTTCAAAAATTCTTGTATGACGCTCCTTACAAATAACTCACATAATAGCAATGATAGCACAATTCCATTGAGTAACACCTTTATCATACCTTCCAAACCTTTTAACATCTTCAATAAATAAAAAACTGGATGTAGGAAGGAACACCCAACTGAGGCCCGCCTCTCGAAGCAACCGATACCACAAATTCAAAGCAACAGGGCAATATAAAAATAAATGATCAACACTCCCACCATCACTTTTACACATCACACACCACTGAGGGGTAAGACAATTATAAGGTCTCATTTTCTGAAGCATATCGTTATTAATAATCTTACCATGTGCTATTGTCCATGCAAAAACTTGCACCTTTAAGGTACTTTTGTTTTTCATATCATCAAAGTAAGATCAAAAGAAGGATAAGAATTTTCCCTCACCAAAGAATCAAAGAAAGATCTACATGAGAAAACTCTCGATGGTTCCAACATCCACTCTCTTTTATCATCCAAAGCAATATTCAACACAATTTTAATTAAGAATATCGAGAAACAATATCATATCAATGGTATCTCTATCATCTAAATTCCTACGAAAATTGAAATCCTAAGAAAATGGAGAATTATATAACCGAATCATAGACATAACGAATGAATTACGAAACCAATATAAATGATAGAGACGAAGAAACACATATGAAAGACTGTTTTCACCAACCCAAAAATCCTCCCCAAAACCAAATTTTCTCCTTACTACCCACCACTAACCTTCACCTCTTGGGAAAATCTCGCCAAACCCTAAGAAATGAATTTCTACGGGCATTGGAAACCACCCCTTTCAACCCTATTAGTGTTCCATCCGTTAACATATAATCCATATTTGCTCCTGCTAACTAAATGCCACAAAGAATTTATTTCCAAGGGAAACCTCCAAAGCTACTTACCTATCAAAACAATATTCTTTGCCTTCAAATTATCAATGGAGAGACCTCCTTTATCCTTAGATCTAGACACCACCCCCAACTAATCAAATGATCCTCTCTCCCTTTCCCACTACCTTCCCATAGAAAATCCCTCATCATTTTTTCAAGTCTCATAGCTACTTTCCCATAGAATATCTCCAAACTACTCTCTCCCTCAAATTGGAGTATAGATATCTTTCATGTCCAACTTGCCTACACCGGTGGCGGCCCGAGACAATTTGGGGTCTAAAGTGACAAATATAAATGAAGCTTTCTTATTTTCTAATAATACTAAAAAAGTCATCTAAAATGTATTCTTTGTTAATATTTATTAATAAAAGAGGAAAGAAAAGATATATTCATTAAGAATAACCAAGTATTACAAAAACATTAAAAAGGAAAACTACACAACAAGAGTCCTATATACTAGGGGGCAAAACATAGTAACATAAGTGACTAATCTACCCCTACTGCTAATATGTTAATATACTAAATTACTCTAGCATCCCCCTCAAACTCATGATGTAAGAGTTTGCCAATAAAAAAACGAAAGAGCGCGATAGTGTGAGATTTTGTGAAGAAATTTGCCGACAGCATAGTAGAAGGAAGGAAGGAGAGAAAGATCGTGCACTGCTGAAGATAATGGCGCATAAAATAACGATCAATCTCAATATGTTTTGTGCGCTCATGAAACACCGAATTGTGAGCAACCTGAATAGCACTGGTGATATCACAATACATAGGAGTAAGAGTAGACAAGGAAATGCCAAGATCAACAAATAGCCAATGTAACCAAACTATCTCTATTGTGATGGATGTCATAGCACGACACTCAGTTTCAGTAGAAATCGAGCCACAACAATTTATTTTTTATTTTCCAAGAAATAAAAGAATCACCAAGAAAGAGACAAAAATCAGTTGTAGACTTGCGATCCATAGAGTCACCAGCCCAATCTGCCTCAGAGTAAGCACGAAGTTCCAGAGACGAGGAGGATAAAATAATAAAATCTGATGCAACGTACCTGCAGATATCAAGGAATCCGAAGAAGAATGGCATATCAGTGAAGGGTGGTAGGAGCAACAACAAACTGACTAACCACATGAACAGCATATGCAATATCTAGACGAATAACAGTAAGATATATCAAAATTCTAACAATAGTACAATATAAAGTAAGATCAGACAGAAGAGAACCATCAGAGGAAGTATAACAAACGTTGAGCCCTAAGGGTGCGTCAACCGTTCGATTATCTGATAAGGAAGCCCACTGAATAACATATGAGGCATACTTTGACTGAGAAAGAAGATAACCCTTGGGAGTGAAGGCAACCTCAATCCCTAAGAAATATCAAAGTGGACCCAAATCTTTCATCTCAAAATAATCATGTAACTAAGTTTTCAACAACTAAATTCTAGCATTGTTATCACCAATAATAATCATATCATCCACATAAAGTAATAAAAGAATGAAATCTGAAGATGTAGATCGTAGGAAGAAAGCAGAATCATAATCATTAGCACGAAACCTAAGTCACATATGACTGAAGAAAATTTGGCAAACCATGCCATCGGTATAAAACCTTGTGAAGTTTGCAGACTTGACCAGTACCATAAGACAACCCAGGAAGAGTCATATAAACCTCTTCAAATAAATCACCATAAAGCAAACTATTTTTCACATCTATCTGAGAGAAGCTCCACTGACGAATAACTGTCATATCTATGACTATGCGAATCGTAGTCATCATAGCAACTGGAGCAAAAGTCTCATCGTAGTCAAGTCTATACTCTTGAGCAAATCCATTAACCACTAATCTAGCTTTGTACCTTTCCACAAAACCATACGATTGAGTTTTGATTTTGTAAACCTACTTACAACTAATTGTGCGTTTACCAAGAGGTAAAGAGACCAACTCCCAAACTCGAGTCTTATGTAAAGCAGAAACCTCCGCATCCATAGTCTGTTGCCAAAGAGTATCAAGGGTAGACTCCTTATAGGAGGTTGGTTCAAACATAGTGTGTAGAAGTTAGGAAAGAATAAAAATCAAGAAAGTAACAAGAGTTGGAAAAATCATACATATTAGGACACTTTCAAGGGCATTGAGGGTAGCGAGGAGTGTGATCCACGGTGCCAGAATCTGACGAGGGGATAAGAGATGCAGATGAAGACATAACATCTGTAGAAGTGACAGTAGGAGTCTTGCGAACATAAATATGCACAATAGAGGGTGGGTAACAGACGCATCAAGCAAAGAAAGAAAAAGAGGAGGGCAAATCAAACACAGTAATATCACCAATATGTATCAGGGTAAACATCAAATGGAACAGAATCAATATAAAAGAGATCAAATTTATATAGAGATAAGGAACCAGATGGAAGAGAGAAAAAACGAATATGCTCCATAAAGACAACATGATGAGAAACATAGAGTTTTTGTGTACAATGATCATAACACCGAAATTCCTTTTGTCCTCATCGTATCCAAGAAAAACACATAAGACTAAGCGATCCGAGAGTTTGGTACGATTAAAACTAGGTAGCAGAATAAAATATGTACATCCAAACACACGTAAAGAGAAATAGTCAGGTGTCTTATCACATAATTGTTCAAAAAGTGAGACACTAGAATTAAAGATTGTGGAAATACAATTAATCAAGTGAACTGCTGTAAGGACTGCTTCACCCCAAAAAGAGCTAGGAACACTAGATGACAATAACAAAGAATGAGATGGTTCAATAATGTGACGATGTTTTCATTCAGCCACTCTATTCTGAGCAGGTGTGTCGGTACAAGAAGACATAAATAGTACCATCAGATTTCAATAAATCATGAAAAGAACTAAAGGAATATTCTCCACCTTGATCACAGCAAAAGCATTTAATGATAGAAGAATATTGAATACGCACCATAGCACGAAAGGTAGTGAAAATGAAAAAAAACTCAGACCTACATGTCATCAAATAAACCCAACAATATCTGGTATGATCATCAATAAAAGAAACATAATATCTAGACCCCCTTTTAATAGTAATAAGAACTGGTCCCCAAATATAAGAATGTACAAGATCAAAAGGTTCAAGAGAACTAAAATTACTTTTATTGAAAGGTAATGCAGTAAATTTAACCAATTTGCAGCCACTACAATCTGAAATATCATAACACTCTAAACTACCCAAACTATCAGTAGAAGCTAAAAATTTTAAACGAGAATGAGAAACATGACCTAAACGAGAATGTCATAAATGAAAACTAAATAATTTTGAACTCAATTGAAAAGAAGATAAATCAACAATAGATGCAACAACTTTAGGGACATGAAGCTCGTCCAACACATATAGCCATCCATTTCTATGGCCTGTCCTAATCAGCTTCTTAGACTGTGGATCTTGCACAACACAACCAATAGAAGAAAAATGAACGAAAAATCCTGAATCAAACAACTGACTAATTGAGATTACATTTAAAGTAAGTTGAGAAATATATTAGGTATCAAGAAGTGTAAGCTGGGAAGACACTATTGTTCCAACACCAGCCAAAGACATTTCGCTATCATTGACTGCAATGACAAATATAGAGAGAGGAGAAACAATATAAATAAATAAGGAATAATTACTAGTCATATAATGGGTGACTCTTAAGTTAAATACCCAGGCAATTCGATATATTCCTAAAGGACCTGAAGTGAATGAACTTACGAAGAGAGAAACTGATAGGGCACCTGATTGATGAAGGGAAAGAAACTTCTGCAGCTGATCAGCTATCATAGT